CGGAGGCTGCCCAGTTCCTGCGGCAGAGGCAGCGGCGAGCCTACCAGATCTTCGAGGAGACCAAGCAAGGGCACCTGGAGAGGGAGTGCGTGGAGGAGCACTGTAGCAAGGAGGAGGCCCGGGAGGTCTTTGAGAACGACCCCGAGACGGTAAGGGCGCATAGCGGCTGCGGAGATTTGGGGGTGGGTTGTCCCTCCATCCATCTGCGGCTGGGTGCCAGCTGCCTGCACAGCTGGGAAGGGCATTGGGAGGAGGAGCAGGAAGAACCAGAAGCATTAGGTGAGTGACTCGAAGCCAGACAAGCGTAAGGAGCACCCAGCCGCGCGAGGGCCATGTCAGGGCTGTCCAGGTAGAAATGCCTCGGTGCGGGTGGCCTGGGTGAGCAGCCCAGCCGGGTGCCTGCTGGCATGACTGCAGTCTCTGGAGAGTGAAGGGCCCTGTTCGCCTCTGGTATAAATCCATGAAGCAAGACCAGCACGACACAATGCTCTGGCTTCTCCGTCTGGATGCCTTACCATCCCTCTTTGCTTCAGCCTCCCATCCCAGCTGCATTTAAAATCCCCTTAATGTTGGTGGCATATGTCAGAATAGGGGTTTCTCAGAAGAAGTATGTCACAAACACACTTTAATCCTTTTGGGCCATATTCAACTTGGTTAGCATTTTGGAATCAGTACGTTCAGGACCTGTCACTGCAACAGCAGGAGCGTATGTGTGCGGGAACATGGTACTGCTACACTTCTAACACTAAGTGTGGATTCACACAGTTACAGCCTGCACACTGCATGCAGAGCTGACTTTTCCAATCTTCTCAAGGCTGACTTCAACTTTGGTCGTCTTCTCGCTTTGGACAGCATGTGGATGCCGTTGTGTTGCTTTACTAAGCTTGGCTTACTCTTCCAATTACTTTACACCTCCTCTCTATGCTGTTTTGGATAGGCTGTTCTCATTGCAGAGATTATCTGGCATTGATTTAGCAGTGGGAAGTGGATTTTCTTGGTGTTCAAACTGAAGCTTGATATTGCACAGCATGTTCCTGTTAATGGTATGATGCTCTAGGGAAAAGATAGGGCAGAGAGAGGGAGAGAGTGTGTGCATGTGTGTGTGTACACAGAGACACACGCACCACAGGCAAGGGAGGGACTCATCTGAGGAGATGTTTTATGCTTCAGTCAGACTAGTCTTGACATGTGTGCTTCATTAGCAGGCTCAGCGCTGGATATACAGTGCAGTAGCTTGTTGTCACAAGGCAGTAGTAAGTATGGCAAAAACATTGTGATGCTGGCTTTTCTTTTTGACAATCTTTAATTTGGAGCTTAATATGGAGCACTTGCCCAGGCAGTGTTTAACAGTACACTTCTTATGTGTACGTGTAGTCACATCTGCATGCAGCAGTGTTTGCTTCGCTCCTGTAAAACTCGGCTAATACAGAATAAGGAAAACTGTGATGTGGTGAGAGTGGCTGGCACAACTATTTCCATATCCATGTTGAATAACTTAACTTTAAGCTCAGTATAAATTATCACCATATAGCAGTGAACACAGGAAAAAAGTTCCCAAATGTGATTTTGTATCATTTTGGAAAAAAAGGTGATCTGAGGTCACCAGTTTTGCTTACTGGCTTCTGGCCAAGAAAATAGCCAAAGGCGATGCACTGATAGATCAGTTTAGAGGGTGTTAGACTGTGTAAATGTGTCAGGATTTTTTAACAATACTCGGTACTTATTTTGTATATTGGAAAAAATATACAGTTCCCCTACTGTAATGAAAATAGTTAAATCATTTTGGTTTAAAATCTTTTCATGTGTAATATACATTCTCTAAGATCCAGTCATGCCATTTAAGCATGTTTTGCAGGATGATGCAAACTTTCTGTCATTGCAAATGATTTTGATTTTTTCGGTGCATTTCCTTTGTTACTGGTGCTAGGTCTCTTTGTAGTTCTGAAAACTGTTGGAGAATTATCACGAGGGTGAGATGAGCTTCTAGTGTCTGTGCCCCCTTGCTTATTCTACATGCGCTTCTACACCAAAGTACTGTATTTTATAATACTTTTAGGTCTGCAGTGATGTAAGATCCTACCTCTTCTGAGACAGAAACATCCCAAGAGCTGTGAACTGCTTGTTACATGCAGTGTGTCCTACTCCTTGCTGTTACTTTGCTTCAGTTTGACTGCGAGCCAAGTGTGCCACCGCCTGTCAGGGGGATGTGTGCCCCCTTCTATCCATTCTGCAGTCAGTGTGTGACATGAAGGCAGCAGCTGCTCGCTAGCAGTTTTCCAATGCATGGGGGAAGAGGTCATGTATGTGGGCTGTTACTACTCTGCACGCTGGAAGCCTTCAGTGCTTTGTAAGGTGACTACTCCTCCGGCAGTATCTGTGGATTTGATGGGCGGGTTATTTTCCTCATCTGCATTTTCATCTGACTTGATCTTTTCACATCTCCTTAATACGCACCTGAAGGTAATGGAAGTGTTTCTTAAACACTAGGAAGTTATCATGCTGTCATTTCACTGATGCTGCCCTTGTACGTCCCATCCTGGTGACTGACAGAAGAAGGAATTGGCTAGCTGAGACAGACTTGACTCAGGAAAATGAAAACTGTTGATGAACAACACCTAGCAGTTTGAGGAATTACAGTAACTGCAGTCACACTTCAGCGTATTGTCAGGCTGCCGCTGGTCCGTGCTGGTAAAGTGAGGACCTTTTACTGACTGGGGAAATGTGCGGATTACTGCTGACAACTGACGTTTCCTTGTAGTTTAGGAAGGCTGACAC